CTGCAAGGCCTGCCCAGTGTAGTGCATGCCTGACACCACTGATTGAACAAACACACCTGAACCAGTGACTGTGTCTGGTGGAGTTTAAGGGAATTACCAGAAGGATGATCACCTGTGGAGGTGACTGCTGGGGGGTCCACAGGCCCCCACCAAAGAAAGCTGCCCTTTCTTAGGCCTCCAGAGTGGCACCTCCACCTCCCAAATGCCAGCATTCCTCTCAGACCCAGAAAGCCTTTCTCAACCCTGAGCCAAAATCCACCTGCTGGCCTCCTGCAGCCTCTGATTCCGCCTCTCAGACCCCGCACAGACCTGGGAGCTCCGGACACTTCTCAGTCCTCCAGCCACATTTAAAAGGGGCAAATATAAGGCTTCGCATTTGGTTCAAAAATCCAAGTGCAGTGCTGGGCAGCAAAGCGAAGGGGTAGCGGACCACAGGGCTGCCTGCTGCGGCGAGTTTGGGCTCAAGGCAGAGGTAGATGCTTCTCAAACTTGCTAGAGGACAACTTGCACTTTGAGATTTTTTTTTTTAACTTTCAATCCATTATAAAATACTTCAGTGCCAACACTCCCAAGATGCACCACATACGTATTTTAAAATTTTGTTCTTATTTCTTTATGGACAACTGTGGATGGTCTCTCTCCTGCGGACCACACTCTACGTGTAACCAATACTTGCATAGACAGGTGGCACATCCCAGTCCTGCTTTCCTGTCCAGGGCTACACCTGCAGGATGCCAGCGGGGCCCCTCAGGGACCAGGCACTTCCTGTCCTGCAGGCTGTAGACTTGCATAGGGGACCCTCTGTGGATAATCTGATTTACAGCCTCTCTGAGACTGCCCCTCCTCCTGTATGTACCCATCCTGTTCCCCCTGTCACAAAGATTTTAGCAGGTTTATGCAAATAAAACAGAAAATCACTTTATAAAAATAGATAACAAGCTCAGGGAAATGGAGGACAGCTGGCCTGGGAAAGGCTGCTGCACCAGGCCCCAGTCAGATGCCTGAGTGCTTAGGGGTCACAGTCAGATGTGAGGACGAGTGTGCCAAGGTAGGCTTGCAAGGGGTCAAGATGAGGGATATATGACTTGGTGGCTGAATGAAACCAGTGTTCTCACCATAAAGATTTTACCTGTGGCTGTTTCTGACACTGCCCTTCGGTTAAAGAATGTCTGTTGGTGGTTCTGTGGGGGAATGCTGGTCCTAATACTCTGAGATCCTACAACACTGGTGTGGGGGGTCAGCTGGTGTTTGGATTTCTCTAGTAATTTTATAGGCCAGCTACCACCATCACCAGCCTCAGGGGTGCAGAGAGAAACAGACAGAGGGACAGAGACAGAGAGAGAAAGAGATAGACAGAAACAGACAGAGAGAGATGGAGAGACAGCGACAGAGATATGCTAGCTTCTGCCATCACCAGGCTCAGGGCAGCAGAGAGATCAAGAGACAGAGACAGACAGAGACAAAGGGTAGAGGGAGAAGGAAGGCTTGGAGAGAGGTGGGAGCAGAGCGCGGGGGTGAAACTCACAGAGGCAGGGTAGCTGGGGAGTCCTACCCACTGGGTCCTAGCTGTCTGAGAAGTCTCAGAGCCTTGCTCAGCCCTCCCCCTCCTCCTTTCGCAGACTTAGAGGCTGTGGGTCCCCAGGCAGTGGCTTCTGAACTCTCCTTCACCTGCCCCTGAACTCAACACGCACGTTTACTCCCACAAACACTGGAGCTCAGTGAAGAGGTCTGCATCCCACCCCTGGACTGAGAAGACCCTGTGTGCGAGGAGCTTGTGTGGCCGGTGTGCAGGAGGGCCATCACAGAGGAGGCTCTGGGAGTTGGGGGCAGATGATAGCATACCTTAGGGGTCAGAAGGGGTGGGAGACCTGGACACATGCTCTTAGCTGGTGCCTGCATGGCCAGGAGTGTGTGGGCCAAGATCTGGGGAGCAGGGTAAGGAGGCTGAAAGGATGGAGAGGCAGTGAGCACATCCAAAGCCACTGAGCTGGCCCAGGGGAGGGAGAAGGCTAGACTCAGCTGGGACGACATCTGCCCCAGGGCACAGCCTCTCTGCTAGAGAACCTGTGGTCTAGCAGGGACTGGTGAGGGGCCAGGCAGCTGAAAGGAGGTCCCGACAGAGAAAAAGGGGCCAGGCTCCCTGTGTGGGTAAATGTGGGGCAGTAACTCTGGGTAGTGAGGATGAAGGATGGAGGCAGGAGGTGGCCACAGGAGTGGGGTATAAGACACCATCAGTTGGAGGAAGATGTGGAAAGCACATGTCCACCAGGGGCTGCTCTGCAGGAGTCTGTGTCCCGTCCCCTGTTAGCAGCTCTGATGCCCGTCCCCTGTTAGCAAGGCACTCCACTAACTCTGGTTCCACAGGAATGCAGCCTGGTGAGAAGTGGAGGGGAGTACAGGCCATGGGGGTCAGGTGCCCAGGCCCTTTCTCTTCTCTGGGTCTCCACCTTCTTGTCACACAAGGAACCTATGCTCCTGGAGGTCTCGGCAACTCTCAACATTCTGGTCTTAGGACCGGCTCTGCCTGTGGACCTCGGGCATCACCATCATGGGTGAAAAACACTCTGAGATGGTCCGTAGGAGCTGGAGGCCCTTCAGATTCCCACAGGGCCCTGCAAGCAGGACCAACTCCTCCTCTCCCACCAAGAGCCACACTAACTTCAAAGGCCTAATTACTCCCGATTTGGGCTGTTTCCTGGCTGTTTCTCAGGTGAGGAAGTCCTCAGTCACTTTCACTTTCATATGTGAGGTGCTGGGGTGGGAGGAGGAGAAGGGATGGGGCAGCAGCTTCCTTTTGGAAAGGGAGGGTGAAACAAAACAGCCAATTAGGGAGGCTGAGCATGAAGGTGAGAAGTTATAAAGAGAAGGTGGGGGGGGTGCAGGTGAAGGGAGGAGCTAGCTGTGGGAGCTCTGCCAGGTGAAGCACGAAGACAGAGGCCTCCCCTGCTATTAAACTTGCTCTTTTTTTCCCTGAGCCCTCCTCTCTGTTCTGCCTGGGTGCTCTGTGGGGAGACAGCATCCCTCCCGTGTCTAGCCAGCCTGGGACAAAGAGGAGACAGGAGGAAGAATCAGTCCCAAAGGAGCCCTGAGGTTGTATCCACCAGACATGCTTCTTCTCAGGAAAGGGACACTAACTGAGTGTATAAGCGAAGTGAGGTCTCATGGCACCCCTACCCTCTGGGGCTGGGGCTGCCCTAGATCCTACTTGGGTTGGTCCTGAGGGGTCCTTGTGGGGAAGGACTCCTCAGGCTCACCTGGAGAAGGCGGGGTCAGATCCGTTTGGACCAAACGCATATGGCTCAAGTGAAAAGAATGGCACATGTGTGTTGTGGGGGAGGGGGGCAAGGACAGAGACCCTCAGGGCGAGCAGGACAAAGACCTCACTGAGTGGGATAGCCACGAAGCTGGTGCAGGGCCCTTCTTTATGGGAGGAGCACGGGGGCAAAGGTGCTTCCTTCTGCGCGCTGGAATGAGGCGGCAGTTCTAATTAGAAGCCTGCCTAGGAGCTGGTGGCCGCGGGGCCCTCTGGACGCGCTCCCGGCTCCTCCCGCGGTCGCTGAGGAGGTCGTTAGTGTCCCACATCCGAGGCATGCCCGCCGCAGCCCATGGTCGGAGGGCGACCCGGGTTGCAGGTGCCGCGCGGGTGCGAGGAGCGCAGGGATCCCCGAAGCGCGCGTCCCGGCCGCCCCGCCACCTCTCCCAGGCTCCCGGACTCGCCCGGGCCGCTCTCGCGCCCCGCCCCTCCGGGCTGCGCCTGGACCCGCGTCCCCACCCCGGGCGCCCCAGCTCCTGAACCATCTCTAAGAGAAAAATTATTATCGGATTAGATGTACTTCGGCTCGCTGGGTCTCCCCCTTCCCCTTGGCGTAATTATTATAATTCCAGGCAAGCCGTCGGAGAGGATTCCTGAGAGTGTGTGTGCGCGCGCGCGCAAGTGTGTGGGGAGGCTCCTCTCCAGCTCTGGGTCTCCTCCAGCAGCGCGCCCCGGCCCCCCGGCACCCGCTTTCCCCCCAGCGGGGCTGGGGTGACCTTGGCCTGTGGGGACTCTGCCTAATACCCCAAGGGAGAGTAACCCTGACCCCTTTCCCTCATTTGTGCAGTAGGCTCTCGGGACCCTTCCCTAGGTTTGTCTGCGCTTCCATCACCAGGTTTAGGACGGTCTCACCGGAATGTGCCTTGTCTGGGGCGAGGACAGAGCGCCCCAGCCCTCTCACAGGTGGGTTGTGAGGCCCTTCACTCAGGAATCCTCACTCCCTCTATACCCTCCTTGCCATAGAGGTCCAGGCAGAGGGCTCGCAGAGAGGGACCCTCGGGACATCGTTGCGGGGACAGCGGCAGGAGGCGCGGAGGGCCGGGCACTGGTCCCAGTGCGCCTGCCGCTCCCGGCCGGTCCCCGCTGTCTTTACGTAACTGCGCTGCCCCGAGCTGTTCGGTCTTGTCTCACCGACTTGCCATAACAAACTACCACAGATCGGGTGGTGTAAAGGGCAGATATTTATTTCTTCACAGTTCTAGAGGCTTAAGTCTATGATCAAGTTGTCAGTGAATTTGGTTTTTGGTAAATGGTCACCTTCTTGCTATGTATGTCTTCATATTGTCTGTGTGTGTGTGTGTGTGTGTGTGTGTAAAAGACACGGTCCTTAAGGGAAGTCTGGCGAATCTCCCTCTCCCAGCTCGCCCTCCCGGCTTCTCTTGGACTCAGGCTGCCTTGACGTTCGTGCCATCTGTACGGACCCTCTTCCTACCTCTCCCCAGCCCACTGCTTGTCCGGCACCAGGGTCCTTTTGAGCCCGGGGATCAATGTCCCCGGAAGCTCCGCCACCAGAATCCCAGTCCCTGCTCGAACAGGTCGATAGTGGCCACTAAGGGAAACAATCCGCCTGCCACCCGCTGAGTCGAAGGGACAGGGCGCGGGCTCCGGGCCACCTTGGGCCCTGTCCGAGGGGACAGCGGCTGGGGGCACATAGAGGCCGCGGCGAACGCGTGGAAAGCTCACTTACCACCAGATCGGGTAGCTGCCCAGCGCCTGCTTCAGGCCGTAGAGGAATAAGAAGTACCGGAGCAGGGCCATCGCCGGCGGGAGAGCGCGGGCGCCGGGCGGGCCGGGCCCTGGGAG